TGTATCCCCCAATTGTAAGTCGCTTTGGATAAAAGCGTCTGCAAAATGACTAAATGTAAATGTAAATGTTATCGTCCTTGGTGTGAACAGGCCTTTACACTGGCGAAATGTTCAAATGAGCCAAGACTACTCAAACTCCAACTGTCAAAAATTAAAATTAAAACACCCTGAAGCCAATTAAACTCATAAGCTTAATAAACTGTTGGCATTGATGCTTGCCTACAAAACAACCACTGGCTCTGCACCCCTTTACCTAAATTCACTACTTCAGACTTATGTGCCCTCCAGAAGCTTGAGTTCTGCAAGTCAACGGTGCATTATAGCGCCATCCCAAAGAGGCACAAAATGGGTTCTGTCAGTGCTTTGGTAAAGTAACACTTTTTTTTTGTTTTTTTGCCATGCAATAAAGCTAAGTTCAAAGGCCAATTTAAAATATCGGTACAGTAAAAAGTGCACAAAATGAATATTTTGTTATGGCACTATTTGTGGCAGTCGAGAAATCATGCTGCGAAATTGGTCCAAAAGGTGTGCATTTTTGTGCCGATGCATTGTTAAAGGATCAAACTTTAAACAACAACAAAACAATTAAAAAAAAAAAATATATATATATATATATTGTAATGGGGTGAAGAATCACACAAGTAATCTCAATCAATACCCCGGAGGGTGGATTTATTGGTGTGGGGCGTTGTGAGGGAGAAAGGTCCAGGTAGGTGCTCCGGTGCCGTGAGTGCTCTCTTCCATCTTCCCAGTGCAGAGGGTCCGTGCAGTGCTCCTGTGGGGCTGGGCGGTCCCACACTGCTGCCTGTGGGAAAAATGAGAGTGCGAGTTAGTGCTCAGTCTCATGGAGGAATCTCCTAGATGGCAGGGCTTGCGTGGCTTATGTGGCCGCCTCCTGATGAGCTGCAGCTGTGACCGATCAGCCTGTGATGAGGACGGCCAGGCGTGCCTAGCTTGTTTCCAGGGCGACGCTGATGAAGCTGCGGGACGCTCGTCACAATGTATAAAGACAAAAAGTACTCATTGATAGTATATTAACATGTATCCAAATCCAAATGTAATACAATTTATTTGGGTGGGGGTGGGGGCACCAATTTGGATTTTGCCTAGGGCGTCAAAATGGCTAGAAATGGCCCTGGATTGCTTCTATTGTCCTCATTTGTAAATCGCTTTGGATAAAAGTGTCTGCTAAAATTAAATGTAAATGAAAGCTTCTATTCTATCTATTATTTTTTAATCTGTCTAATCTAGCTAATATTTCTATTTGGCAAAGTTATATGGACATGTACTGCGGTCAAGACCTGTCTGGAACTACTTTAGCCGTGTGTTTCCCTGTAAATAATTGCACACCTTAGAATGTTCGTCAACCAATCAGATTCAAGCATTCAACAGTATAATTAGGAATTATATTAGTTACTTATCTACTTTGTCGCGAGTGCAGTGCACTTACGGAAAGAGCCCGCCCATACACTACTCTGATTGGCTTTGATTTTGATTGGCAAATTGTCTGTCTGTCTGTCTGTCTGTCTGCCTGTCGATCTATCTATATCTATCTATCTATCGTCTGTCTGTCTGTCTGTCTCACTGTCTGTCTTGAAAGACTGCATGACCTTAAGATCTTCAACTTTAAGCTTTTCTAACTACTAATTCAAACTTCAGAATTTTAAAACTACTTGAAACTTTCTTGTCAGGCTTTCTCAAGCTGACATCAAAGTTTTGTGTGACTATTTTATCTAGTTTTCTCTACTTTTTTAAAAAATCTATCTTCAATTAATTTGCCTTCATTTGACTTTCACAGTACGGATTTAGCTTTTGACCTCTACGGATATGTGTTCATTACACTTAACAACATTCTGACTGCTGCTAATGGGGCTTATATGAAACAAAAACTGGACTCCAAGGTAATTTAACTCATAAACCTGGTTTATGCTTGACACATCCACACAAGTGCAAGAGTGTGTGCACCAAAGGTCCTGTTGTCTTTGTTTCACATACCTGCAAATGTGCCAGGTTTCATCAGCATGCACAGTTTTGCACACAAGCCTTCAAATCCAAAAGCTTCATTAGTTGTTCCTTTTTAGAAAAAGTTTGGTCCACTGCCTTTTTGTATAAAACATTTAGACACAAGAGTTTCATTAGTAAAAAGAAAAAATGGTTTCTGTACATTTTGTCACCTTTAGTTTTTACTTATATGCTGCTTCTTGCCAGATTCACTTGGTGTTTAGGCTTATGTATGAGCTGAGCTGAAAGCAGATTTTAACAGAGACCTGCTAACCAGACCTGCTTGTTTTAACCCATATTTAGTTTAAAGATTTTTTTTTTCTCGCTGCATTTCAGGAGCTGGGAAAATATGGGCTGCTCTATTACAATGCTTTATTCATGATTATTCCCACTATGATTTTAGCATACTTAACTGGAGACATTAAGAAGGTAAGAATTTTAATAAAAAATATTATGACACTAAATGTTTTGAAAAAATTAAGAACAGATGGAAAATTAAATCTGAATTTTGATTGACTTTACATAAATTAAAATGTACATTTGATAAAATAATAAATGTACATTTGATAAAATAAATAAATTCTCTTGTGAATTTTCAGGCTTTGGAGTATGATGATTGGGCTGACATTTTCTTTGTGATTCAGTTTGTGTTATCATGTGTCATGGGGTGAGCCTGATATTTTCAATCTTTTTCTGTACTTAAGCTTAAGTTTCTTAAGACTACTTAAAGGTGAATTGTGTAAATTCATTTTTTGTGAGATGTTAAAAATTCATATTCTTTTTTTCTCTTGTTCTAATCATTATAATATCATTGGTTATTTTGGCAGGTTTATACTCATGTACTCAATTATGTTATGCACCCATTATAACTCTGCTTTGACGACTACCATTGTCGGCTGTATCAAGGTCGGTAATTAACATTAAATCAAATTAAATTAAATCAATTAAGACTTTACTTTGTTTCCTTTAACCAACCCAACAGAATATCTTAGTGACATACATCGGGATGGTGTTTGGTGGAGATTATATCTTTACTTGGGTGAATTTTATCGGCCTAAACATCAGGTAAAAAGGTCCATTTTAAAATGACAGTGAAGATAGCCCACATTACTGGGACATTCTTAGTAAAAGATTGTAAAAGAAACCATAAAATGTGATGTCATTTACTCATCATGTCAGAATGATCAAGGTGCAGACATATGTGGATTTTCTCAGAAAACTCAAGAATTTAGAAGAAAAACATTAGAGTACTGAAATGTAAATAAAATCAAAATTTAGATAGAATTAAAAAAGTTCTGTATAACCAAGCGACAACCTTCCCGTCTCTCTCTCAAAACCAACACGGAAGTGACTTAAACTGCAATTCATCGACTGGCCGCTAGAGACTGGCTCCAAAAAGGAGTCATTCCCATAGACCTCCCATGTTAAAATGCCCAACTTTACAGCAGAAAAAAATATGTTTACAACCTGGTACAAAAAGTTGTTTTGGTCTAGCTAATTTTGTCCTTCATGACAACTATGAGGGGGGTGAATTTTTTTATAACTCATCCGTTTAAATTCTATTAAGCTTTAAAGTTCTGCATAATTAAAAGCGTGGCCACTTAAGTGACAGGTGGATTGCCGCTGCTGTCACCACCGTCGAGCTAGGTCGTGGTTTCAGCCACCAGTCACCTCAGCTCCACCCACGTCCTGCCTCTTTGCCCATTTCCGATTATCCGAGATTGACACGCTGCCAAGATGGTGACGGCCGGCTCCGCCTACTTTAGGCTTCAAAAATGCTCTTCAGAAACCTACGGGTGACGTCACGGACACTACGTCCATGTTTTTATACAGTCTATGTGTATAACCCACTCGTTAAAAAAAAAAGTGGTCACTTTTTTGTGTTTCCTGAGAATGGCCATGAACATTTCTTTGATATTTCTTTCAGATGTTCTATAAATATACCTTTTCTTAACTTTTTCCCCTATAGCATTGCTGGCAGTCTTGTGTACTCGCACATCACTTTCACTAAGGAACAAAAAAGTAAGCGCAATACAAAAATGTGGATTTTGTAAATCAAAATTAGGATCTTTTCAAATGCATCTCAAAACCTCCATGTTATGGATTAATTTCCTATCATTTCCTTTCTTTTATTGAATAAGATGAAGTGCATTTCAGATGACATGTGAAATCTTTTGTCTTTTAACAGAAAAATATTGATGGAACAAGCTTAAAGTGTCGATAAAACCTATGGGAGTCAAGAACACAGTCAGCAGGGTGTGCACACAGTCTCATTTCACAACACCGTGAGTGCAACAGAGACCAGCAATTTTCTCAGCAACCTTGTTTTTTTTGAGATATGATATGAGAAGATATGATTTAATTTAATTTGATGTTGGATAGATGAGAAATGATTTCCTTTGCTATGGTATGAAATCAGTATTATCCTGTTGTCTTTGTAAATTGTAAAGTCCTCAACCTTAGTAGTTCAAGGTGGACTGTACAATTTCCATTTTTATTTTTTAATTGAGGTATGAATCAAAATTATTTTTATTTATTTATTATTATTATTATTTGTGTGTGTGGTAATTAACATGATACAAATTATGATACATGTGATGCTGTTGAAACTGGAATAAGTGTATGAACAACCTAAATAACTTTTAATGGCTATATGCAATAAATAAATAAATAAATAAAATACAATAAATAAATAATATAAATTAACTTTTGCATAAATTGATTTTCACTCATGTTTTTCACTATTTCGTTATTTTCACAAAACACAATTCTGTGTGAAGGATCTAAGGATCCTCAAACTGTGTGTTTTAATTGATTCTTCATTCATTTTTTATAATCATTTTATTATTCCATTCAATCATATAATCATTTATATACTAATTTCATTGATGTATTCATTGATTAGTCATTTTTATTTGTTTTTTTTTTTATATAATTTTTTCCATTGTTTAGTCCTATGGCTGTGTGTTTTCATAAATAAGAGATAAGAGGGAATGCTCATTGAAATTTAAGGTTTATGGCAGGTTGTGAAGCATTTTGGTATAACACTGGTTGTTGGATTTGTGCTGGTCAGACGAAGTCTGAGCATTGAAACGTACACAATTAAGATTATTCAATAAACTCTTGTTTTTTTATCATCATCACTTTGTCTCTTGCTTCTGCTCTTCGCTGGCTTTTCTCAGTCAACTTCTTGGCTGATAGAAGATTGGTAATACAGTTTTGGGTACCGGACAAACACTGGTTTTGGGTACCAGCCAAGACTTGCTGTTAACAGGTTTTGGGTATTAGACAATTTTGCTGACTAGTTGTTCTGTTACCGGACAAAACAGATATTTTTTGACAGGATTTTTGGAAAGATTTTTTACTTTGTGGGAAAAGTTTGAACAAAACTTGAGGATGTTTGTTTTTAGTGTGTAAAGAGCACATCACTAACAGTAGGGTAAATAACTCTGAAACACCTTTTTTAAGGGTTTTGTAATGGAGCCGACGAAACGAGAGGCGTGCGGATCCATATGCGAGCTTTTATTAATAAACATGGTCAAAAAACATAGGCAGGGTCGAACAACAGCAAACAGGTATGGCACAGGCAAGACAAAAGAGCATTCCAAAACGGGCTTGAGTCAGACGACAGCGAACGTTATCCAGAAGGCTTGACAAGAGAGGTAATCCGTAAACGTGAGCAATAGTCCAGGCGAGGGGCAAACACAGTCCGAAACGGCAAGGCAAAAGGTAAATCCAAGAATCAGAAACCAGGACATCAGGAAACACAACGAGACTAGACTAAGACTAGAACTAGGAACTAAGACAGGGAAATGGCTCCGTAAAGTGCTATCACTTGGCGAGCAATAAACGCAGACAATACTCTGCGTTGAATGGTGGTGTGAGACTGATTTATATAGTGTGTGTTATTGGTAGCAGCTGTGTGTGATTGGTTTCAGGTGAGCTTGTGATTAGTGCAATGTAGTCCAGGGTGATGTGTAACAGTCTGTGTAGTGTGATAGTCCATGTGGAGAGCGGGTGACCTCTGGTGGTGAGTGAACAGAAGAAACAGGCATGGGTCAATAATCAGCAAACAGTCACGAATGAGGCAAGACAAAGAGTATTCCTAGGGCAGGCGTGGGTCATCGATTGGCGAACAAAATCCAGAGGGCTTGACAAAAGGGGTAATCTGTAAACACGAGCAATAGTCCAGGCTGGGGCAAACAGTATCCAAGGCAGGGTCAGGCAAACGGGTAATCCAATATACACAGGCGAGAATCAAAGGACCGGAAAACAGGCAAGGCAAAACTATGACAGGATTAAAGTAGCTATCAACGGACAGTGATATGTGCTAAACAATACTCGGCGATCTGAGCAGGAACTGAGTGGGTGTTATGTAGTGTGTGTGATTGTTTTCAGGTGAACGTGTGATTAGTGAAATGGCTGCTGGGAAATGTAGTCCGGGGTGACGTGAAAGTCTGTGTAGTGAGAGAGTCATAAAAATGGAAGAGCGACCTCTGGTGGTAATTGGACGGAAGTCCATGAACCGGATTCGTGACAGCTCCCCCCCAAGGAGCGGCTTCCAGACGCTTCCAACACAATGCAATCCAGGAGGGCGGTGGAGCGGAGGCGGAACAGGTGGAGGGACGGAGGGCCAGGCCCACATGGAAGTGGAGAGACCGGGGACTTAGGCAGAGCCGGCAGAGCAGGAAGGAAGCCAGGGCGGAGCAGAGAACCAGGATGGAGCCGGCGAAGCAGATGGAGCTGAGGACCACCACAGCAGAGCAGACGGGTCCGAAGGTCCCCACGGCAGAGCAGAAGACCACCAGGTCGGAGCAGAAGACTTTCACGGCAGAGCAGAAGACCACCAGAGCAAGACAGAAGACCACCAGGCAAGAGCAGACGGAGAAGGAGACCATCACGGAGGAGCAGACGAAGCAGAAGACCACCAGGTAGGAGCAGAAGACCTCCACGGCAGAGTAGAAGACCC